TTATTATTATTATTATTATTATTATTATTATTATTATTATTATTATTTTATTTATACAAACATTCCATCTCTCATTTGAACAGTCTGTCGTCTGAGTATACATACCTTGTGCAATAACCATGATAGTTTATGCATATTCATTGCTTTTACTTTAATCCTCTATTCTTACACATCGTACTAATCTACATCATATATCTAATTCTTCTAAGATTCCCCAACTTAACATTTTTAATTCTTACCACGTCTTGGCTATTTTAATGCTAGTCTTCTTTAGTTTCTAACTTGCCCGTTTATTTCCCAATCGTTGATAAAAATGAACCCCATATCGTATAATATTCAGTTTGTTCTTTCTCTTGGGTTGCTAATGTGAACCTATCCAGTCTAGTATTTTTCTAAGCCATCCCCTCTTGACTTGTCTACTTCCAGCTGCTCAAAGGCATGTCTGCCTCACGCCGGAAAAACCTGGAGCGCCTTGACGATGAGGAGGGGGCCGAAAGTGGGGATTGTGATGATGAAGATGCCTGCAACGAGGCTGCGGCTTCTGGAGACGGGGAGTTGAAAGGGAAGAACCAGTTAAGGTTTTTGGCGGGTAAGGTGGAATCGGAGTTATGGGCAGGGTACTGACTGGGCGGGGAGGAGCGGGCGGAGGGCGGCGGGGCCAGCCAGGGACACGATTTGCTGGTTCTCCAAACTGTGCAGCATCATAACAACCGGTTCTATAGAACCGGTCAAAACCGGTAGAATTCCACCCCTGGTTATGGGGTGACAGTCAAGATTGGATTGCAGGGAGTTCTTGACTTATGGCTGTGGTTGGGAACCGGAATCTCGACCGATAAGTCCTCACAGTTGTAAGTTGAAGCACCGCATGACTGGACTTGATTTATAGCCGTTCTTTACGAGGGTCATGAAACAAGTCACCAGGGTTGCTAAGAGAAACCTGTGGTTGTAAGTGTGATGCAAGGCCTCCATGGGAAAGAGGGTGGAAGAAGCATGAGGTCAGCAGGCCAGGAAAGAAATAGAACCCAAGCATTTAAGCTACGAATTTGAATTTGTGCTCTTTCCAGCATATCAGACACGTTTGCAGCTTCTGCGGTGGCAGGAATCTTGATTTTTTTAAAAAACCAGATAGCCCTCTTAGTGGCCTGTTTTGGGGAAAGTGTTGGAAAAACACAACTATTTACAATATCCTGATCAAAAAAGTATAGCAAGAATTTCCAAGAACAGGGTCTGTTTTCCTTTCTTTCCTTTCCCTTCCCTTCCCTTCCCTTCCCTCTCTCCTGAACTCTGTCTTTCCTTCCCTTACTTTCCCTTCCCTTTCCTTCTCTTCCCTTCCCTTTTTTCCTTCCCTTCCCTTCCCTCCTGTACTCTGTTTTTCCGTCCCTTTCCTTCCATTCACTCTTTCTTTCTTTCTTTCTTTCTTTCTTTCTTTCTTTCTTTCTTTCTTTCTTTCTTTCTTTCTTTCTTTCTTTCTTTCTT